AATTCCCTCTAACACTGAGTGGACTTTATGTCCTAGAATTCTCTAAATACTGAGTGGACTTCAACTCCCAGAATTCCCTAAACACTGAGTGGACTTTACATCCTAGAATTCCCTAAACACTGAGTGGACTTCAACTCCCAGAATTCCCTAAACACTGCGTAGACTTCATCTCCCAGAATGCAGCAGCCTGCAAGCTGGCAGTTGAAGTCCACACATCTTAACACGACCAACCTGGAGAAACTCCATTTTAGAATCCTTGCCACCCTGACTTCTCCATCAAAGCAGAAGATCCTGAAGAATTCCGGGACTTGTTGTTCCACTTTTTGTTAACTATGGAATTCTGGGAATTGAAGTCCACACACCTTAAATTTGTCAAGTTTGAGAAAAACTGTCCTGGACTCAACCTCACCACATCGTCACCCAACGTCCAAGATGGACAACACTCACCTCCGAAGAGCCCCCAGTCGTGAAGGACATCAAAAATGAGTTCTCCCCATCAAAAAAAAAAATCTAAATTGTTGAGGCCGCCGGATAAGGGTCCGGAGGAGGAAAGACGGAAACTTCTTCCCTCCACCTTCACACATACAACACATCACACATATGTTTGCAGCAACATGCAAATGAGGAAGCAGCTCTGGAGCGAAATGGAGAATGTCAACCCAACGTCTTACCTTGGCGGCTGCCCTCCAGGCCGTGATCCCCATTCTCAACCACGGCGGCTGGCCCAGTTGCAGGAGGACCTGGAAGAGAGACAAGCACATCAGTTGGGTGGGTGGGTGGGGGGCACTGAGGCCCGGGGGGATCCCACTTTTCTGCACCAAAGACTTTCTTTGGCCAGCTGAAGGATGGATCTTCTCTGCAAGGATGGCCCAGCGGCCATGTTTCTCCTCCAGATGTTGCCATCAATCATCTATCTAAATCCACATCTCCAAATCTATTCAAACCTCCTTCTGGTGCACATTTAGCATCTGTAACATAGATATTTCTCTCGATGAGAATATACCTGCTGAAAAAAAAAAACTCTGTACTGGCAACAAGAAGGGCATCCGGCCAGTAAACACTCAGCTCCATTCAGTTGCCCAAGACTCCACCCCGCAAGGGATTACGGGGGACTTTAAAAGAAGAGGATGATGATACAGTCCTCAGCTTGTGACCGTAAGAGTGCCCCCAACTTGCCATTGCTAAGTGAGATGGTCATTACATGAGCTCTAGGTCGTTAAGCGAATCAGGGCAGTAGTTGAGTTAGCAACACTTAACAAAGGGGTTGTTAAGTGAATCTGGCTTCCCCATTAACCACGGGGATGTTGCCACAGTCATTAAGTGTGGGGGGAAAAGGGGTCATCGGTCGCTTTTTTTCAGGGTTGTTGCAAAAGCTGAACGGATGCTAAGCAAATCGTTGCTAAGCGAAAAATACGATTGTAATATTTCTTAGAAGTCGGCTCCCGAGAAAGATCAGCTGGAGGAAGAGGAGGAGGAGACGACTCCCAATTCAATGGGAGAATTCACTCCAAATGGGTGATTTAAATTACTTAAAGCATCCGATTTTTCTTTTTTGTTGCTATCTAAGTTAGTTATCTTAGTTTAATGTTGGTTTATGTTTAAACATGTTTTTTTTAACGTTTTGTGAATTACGTGGAGCTGCTGGGAGTTGGCAGGTGAATGTGTGTATCTCTCAATCTATATATATAAAAGAATCATGATTGTGGGGTCCTGGGTGCTCTCTGAGCTGGGTGGTTTTCCTGCAGGCGTCTCATGACCCAACTAGGGAACATCACCAGTGCTAGAAAGGAAGGAGGGTTATGGGAAGGAGAGAGGGAGGGGGAGAAAGAGGAAGAAAAAGAGTGGGAGGAGAAGAGGGAGGGAGGGACAGAGGAAGAGGAGAAAGAGAAGGAGGA